GGCCTATACATCCACAGAGGGTTGAAATTAATGTAGTGCAGTTTAAACCCAGCATGTGAGTTTAGGATAATTTCGTATTCTGGTAATTGTGATCTTCATGCAGACTGAGTCTCTGGCTTTTATTAAGTGAAATCTCTCTTTTGTAGAAGCTCAGTATTTCAGCATTCTAAGTATTTGGACCAATATATGCAGCCAAAGGACAAGTAGTGGTCTCACTCTTATTAAATTTAGCACAAGCATGATTTAAATTGTAAGCTATCTGACGTAGCTATACAAAGTGGCAGCTTGCTCTTTCTTTGTTTTTGGTTATAGCACTAGAATAGTCAGCAAGATTCAGTAAAGCATGCAAAATCAAAGTTCAATTAGCCTTTTTTCATTAGCAACAATAAAAGGAGACTCTCTTAAAGAATTGGATATTTGTTGTATTTATAGAAATTCTGTCCACTACTATAAATCAAAGGGTTTTTGTTTGTGTTAATATTTGGCTCTTCTCCCATACATTGCTCCTGTCAGGAAATTGCATTAAGTAAGGCAAATAATTCTAGGTTCCTAAATGATGATGCTCATTTACAGTTTTGCAAATCATTATAACACTAACTTCAAAACAAAGTGAGCTTCTATTACAAAAGTGCTGCTCTGAAAGAAATACCTCCTATTTTATCACCTTGGCCTACAATGTCAGACATAGATGTTGGTGATATGGCAGTAGAGGCTGAACCTTTCCACCAATATTCTGCTAAATTTTGTTACCATGCAACAGATGGCAGCAAAGGGGCACTCTGACAGAATGGCATCTGCCATGGAAGCACGTAAGAAGCAAAGGGGTGGAACTGAATTCCTCTATGTAGAAAAAAAACGCACCCACTGACATTTACTGAACATTTACGGAGTCCAAGCAATGGATGTGAGCACAGTGAGGTGGTGGGTGGTGTTCTTCTGCAGGGATGACAGCAATGTGAAACACAAACCATGTTCAGACAGTCATGAACAGTCATCACACCCCAAAAGGAAGAGCATTAGAATCAGTTCATCTGCATTATGACCAGGAAATTGTGTACAGAGTTGAGTATCAGCTTCAATGTGTTGGAAAGGATGGTTGTAATGCTGAAATATCACAATGCTTGCACCATGCGGGTCCCACAGATGCTCTCCCAGGAACAGAAAGAACACCGTACGAGAATTTGTCAGGACCTGTTGAAGCAATCTGAGGCCAAAGACAAGTTTCCTGGATATGTCATTAGCAGCGATGGGACGCAGAGTCACTGCTACGAGCTGGAGTTGTCAAAACAACCCACTGAGGGGCAACAAGTGAATTCTCCATCAAAGCAGTAGTTCAAGATGCAACCCTCAGCAGGTAAAGTGGCATGCACTGGCTTTTAGGATTACAAAGGAGAGAGCCTTCCGGATTTCCTTGAGCTCAGACAAACGATCAACTCTGACCACTACATCATGATGACGACTAAGCTGAAGGCTTATTTACATTACACAAATAAATGCTGTACAAAGGAATATGGCTTAGGGGAGAAATACTGGTGGTAAGTGGACAGTTGGACTGGATGATCTTGGAGGTGTTTTCCAACTTTGTTGACTCTATGAAATGAAGGGTAATTTGCACACCCAATTTCCAGTTGTGAAAAAAATCTCATTCAAAAGCATCAGCATCAGTACTCAGAAATATCAGTATCATAAAACTGTATTTAAAGTCCAATTTTTTTAAAAAAATATAGTACTTTGGGAATTGATATTTTATACCCAGTTGTCAATCAGTGTGAGCTAGAAAGACATGGTCCAAGAGACTTCTTGTAAATATTGCATGTTTTTGCTAAGAAATCTAGGAAATGATGATTAGAAAGCATTTTAGCTAATTACAGTTCAGCACAGCAGAATTTAACTCAGCCTGCAGACAATCAAAAACTACACCCCCAGGGATTATTAACCCTTTCCTAGTAAACTTAATCTAATTAATGGAAGACTGAGGAAAGCAGAAAATAAACTTACTGCAAGGAAGCTGCTTTACCAAGGGGTTGGACTAGATGATCTCCAGAGGTCCCTTCCAACCTCTACAACTCCCTGAATCTGTGAAAACAGCTTGATTGAAGATCTAAGGTGAATAGAGCACAGCTCTGTTTTTGTAAATGAGTCAAGGCTGTGTAGCAGCTGGAGCACAGGGAGCATGCTACTCATCTCAAACCTGCCTGAAGGTTATGTGAAAACTGGCTGTGTCTTGCAGCACAAACTGATCAACTGCCGTGGGGAAATCTGCCTGCATACAGACTGCGGGTTATGGTTTACAGCCTGTACTTTTCAGAATGCTGTTGAAGTAACAAGGTAGTTATAAGCATATTTGAAAGAGAAAAGACATGACTGTAATTAGGGAACAAGGGTGCGTTAGATGCTTTTAAAATTTAATCTGGATACCAAATTACATCTCAGTTCTCCTTCCTTCACAAACAACAGCAACAAAAAGCTTCCGACCTAAAATAAGCTTCTTTAAAACTGAGTACAGAAGCTGTTACTCAGCCTTTATGTTCTACTATCACCCTTAAAATACCACCTAATTAGGTCTTATACTTGTCCTATAACAAAATCCATGCCCCAAACCATTTGCAGTTTGGGTTATAAAGTCTAATCACAGTATGAGTGTAAACCAGAAACTCTCTTACAAGCAAAATTCTGAAAAATCAAGATAATTACAACCCTAGCTCATCCTGATTTGTGAGGTTATTTTTAGAGCAGCACAGGCTGCTGTGCTCTAAGCTTTTTTACATTTGCATTAAGTCCTCTGTGATTCCTCCTCTGAAATGTGTGCATATGCTGAGTCCATGTGAGATGCTACCACTGGCGCTTGTCATAAGAATTAAATCCCTCTCAAGCTTGTTTACAGCTCAGCACTTGTCATACTGCTCCCCTGAGCTTCATGGCTTACTGGTTGGTGGTTTTTTTGTGGTTTTTTTTTTCCACTCTCTCTGGCTCTGTGAAAGATTTAATTTCTTTTTTGTTTATGTGTGTACTTACACTTGCAGGTGCAGAAAAGAAAAAAACTGCTGTACCCAGATGTTCTGAAGCTGCAGTAGCATACATACAGCTGAAATTAAGGAGAAAAATTGTATGGGATGAGCAACCTTCTCATACAGTATTCCATAGCATATTTAATAAACCTATCATGTTTCATTGACAACAAGACTCTTGAATACAAGTTTAGGAAAATCAGAATATTTTACAGTTGCTGTCTCTACTCTTTTGCAAAGAGCTTTTCAAAGCCTGAAGGTGGTCCAATTACTCCTATTTTCAATTTTGCTCTATATTGTTGCTGCAGTTACAGACGCAATCATCAGTACAGCTACTGCATACCAAACAGTCTTAGCTCATTACTGAGTTAGTTGAGCCTTAGAGAGTTCAATCCAGATTTTCGGTCATACTTTGAAAAATATATTGTGTTGTTAAAAAAAGAAAACCCTCTTGTTCCTGTGGTAATAGGAGAAATCATTGCTTGGATTGCCTGTAGGGACACGAGCTCTCACATCTGAAATTGCATCCAGTTAAACGTATCTCCATTTCACAAATGCAGCTGGTTAACCTTGCAAACTCATTTACCCCACCTCATATTCTAACAGCCTATGAAAGCGTGCAAAGATTAGTAAGATAGGCATCTACTGTAGCCATCCCTCTACACCATAGTAATGGCTTGTCTGCTTCACCTTAACAGCACACACAGAGACAGAGGCTTTCTGCAATCTGCAGAACGGCTCTTGAACATCTTTGTTCAAACTCAGTACATGCATTGGGAATCTTAGACATCCATGTTCCTAGTGAATTAAGTTTATTAGCACAGTTATGTGCGAATAAAGTTATTCTGTAATTTTCTTTGATCTGCTTTTACATGTTAGTTCTTCTAGTCATGCACAACCTGTAACATAAATCTTGCTGATGATATGAATGGAAAAATACAAGCATCTGACACAGAACCCACTGGAATTTTAAAGGATGCTGCTTTGAAATTCACATGTTTTAATCTGCTTTTCGTTCACTTGTTTTCAGCTTCAGTAACGTCCTCTAGAGCTTCCACTGGGCACTGTATAGGAAAGTCTGATTATGTGCTGTACAATTAGTATTCTAACTACTGTTGCAGTGAGTGAGATAAGATTTCTTTTTCCTTGCCTTTCTTTTTTAATATCTATACCTTTGAATGTTGGTTCCCTGGATTGTCAGCCATCAACAAAATAAAAATTCTTTCTCCAGTGAGGCTCAGTACATTCCTGAGCTTGGAAGTGATCTTGCAGAGTATTCAGGAGGGTGGGGTATTAAGAGAGCTCCCATGAAATTGGTGAATATTAACTCTATAACCTAGAACTATTTTTTCTTTCTAAACCTCCTTGGTTTGATATCTCAGCTTTGTTAAATTGATTACACACAACTATACACATTCTTAAACTGAAGGCAGAGAAATAAAGATACGGTTGTGTGAAAAGCACAGGAGTGAAAGTCCATTTCCTACATTAGGAGAATGCCATGCAAGTGAAACTGCTGTTTATAGGATCTCTAAAATTCTAGGTGCTGTACAAATAAAGAAGTCAGTATTGGCTTAATATGGTCTCCAACAAATGTAGTTTTCAACTCTATTTTTTTCAGCATATTAAATAAAAGGCAGATAGTCTAACATAGCCATGGATGAGATGTAGAAAGCACTTTTCACCTACCCAGAAGATTTGGCAGTGAAATATATTCAGCTCGACAGACAGGAATTATCTGATTTCAGAATAAGTGACTTTATCGATCACTGATCTTTACCTAATTGGTGTACATTATACCCAAGAAATCAGACTACATTCACATCAACTTTCTTTGTGCTATGAAACCACTGATAACAGTTTTGTCAGAAGCTTCACAGAATCTAATCTGGGATCAGTTTCTCCCAGTTTCTTCTGGGAGACTTCTACTTAAAATAACTAAAACACTGAAAGCAGAAGTAATTTTCCCCATGTATTCTGTATTCCACTCACAGTAAAGTTTCCATACTGTAGCTTCTTATTGATCTTTTATTGCAATGAGGCATCTTGACAGACCAAGCATTTGCTGCTTTGTATTTTCTCTGGAGATTCTGTTCAGTAAAAATTCCTAGCAGCCTTAGCACCACCTACAAAAAAAGAGAATACAACTGTTACTGCACAGAGGCTGAAGTTCAGGGTGGATATATTTTTACCTACTATCCTGCGAGAAGTAGGAGAACAACTTTTAAAGTACTTTATCACTGTTCCTCCTCCATCTCTTTATTTCACAGAATTGAATGGTCACATACAAAACGATGTAAGAGATACAATCAAGAAGCACTCACAGAAGTGCAAGTGGATTGTAACCCCTCTCAAACAACGGATTTCTAAGGAGCACGCAAACACTGGATAACAAATACATTAATATAAACTACGTATGATGTGAGAAGACAGAAGATACATTTTTTACTGCCAGAATACAAACAGGAGTAAGAGGTCACAGCTTAACAGCTTTAAAGACACCAATGCCAAACACCAATTTCCATGTGCAATTAAATCACTCAGTACTATCTCACAGTTAAGGAAGAGACATTGGCTTTCATGCAGAATTCTGTTTCAGTTTAATTTCAACAAGGAATACATTTTCTCTTACCTGTTCAGAGTGTCTACTGGCAACAACACTTGGAAGGGTCAGCTTTCTCCTGACAGAAATGCACAAGCCTCGTTAGAGTTTTTAGAGACATAATTCTCAAAAAGACAGAAATGTTTTCCAGAGTTCTTTAGTAGCCTCCTGAGCTCAATCTGACTGATCAAACTTACCCACACAGACAGTAGAGATGGAACCCAACTTCCCTTCAATGGTTGGCTCACCTAACCAAGAGCACGCTTAGATTAACAGAACATCTAAATAGAGTACAGTGGTGGTTTTACAATGCTGTACAAAAGTTTTTGCTCTAAAGAGTATAAGGACTGTTGCCGAAACCTACCTTCTTTTTAACAATCAAAAGAAGAGCTTTCTTTTTTCTTTCTTCATCTACATCAGGGAAAATGAAACCCAGTTGTTTTCACTATAGTTGCCTATAAATGCGAGCATGTTTGTGCAAAGCAAAATTTGCGCACGTGCAGTAACAGTTCGGCATGGTTACGACTTCCTGTCCTTCCACCAGCTTCAGTTTTTACTGGAAGTTTCCTTTGGGCCTGAAATTTTCCTAATTAAGCTACGTCTCACATCCCTCCATTCTGTCTCAGATTTACGTAGTAATGAGATTTCATATATGAAGTAAATAAAGATTAAAGTGTGAGAGATTAACATTTTCCAGGGTTGTAGACAAGTTTTTAATCTTTAGAAATCCTACGCAAATAGCATTTGAATTCAGAATCATATTTAGAATTAGTCTTCTGTAACTTCTGCAGTAAGATGCTGCAATATGCAATAAACCAAATACTGAGAATTTGTTTACTGCTATAAATGCAAGCATTTATACTGCATTTCATGCAAGCAAATAGCGTTGTATTACACCTTTTAAAGCCTTTACACTGAAAGATGCAAAGGCCATACTTAAAAATTCTAACTTTGGTGACAACAGTTGATCAAAATATACAGAACCTGTAACATCTCTGGAGACCCAGACATAAAAAGTGAATAGACTCACCATCCAACAGCTTCACAATCTGCTGCTGTTGGGTACTCCGTGCCTGTTCTTCTGGCAACGCTTTCTCCCCCTGAATCACAGAATGGCCAGGGTTGGAAGTAACCTCAAGGATCATGAACCTCCAACCCCCCAAACAATAGGAATTTGTCTACAATCCTCTAAAATTAGTGGAAAAGCAGTATTTTTTTGCCCAAACTGTGCAAGACAAACTGAAGCATTCGCTGCACTTGAGGAAGCACCAAATGACCATAAGCTACTGATTTTCAGTAGTTTTCAACCGAACAGAAACAAAGCTAATGTGCACATGGCATGTATCTTTTTCAAAAATAGTAAATTACATATCCAATATGAAATTATAATTCCAGTAAATATTGTTAATCTCTGCAGAAGTGAAACATATATTCCAATATGGACATCGAGAATTAAATTGAATTTAATTTTTTTTGCAAGGCAATGTAAACTTGAGCTCAAATGTTCTCCTAAGTTCAAAAAGAAAGATGGCACAGAGAAAGAACTGATGATGGCTGCAAAATAAGAAAAACCTTTCACGACACAGAAACAAAAAAGTAAGTTATGTGCAGTTACATACAAATAACTCAAATGCAGTCAGTGTAAATTATCTTTGACTTAAGCCAAAAGCATCTATTTAGCTTTGCTCTAAGAACCAAACAGAATACAGGAAAGAGATTAATTTTCATAATTATGCAATTTCCTGCAGTGTTAAGATAACAGATTTCTTCAGATAAGAAAAACAAATACATTTTTAGTTCTTCACAAAAACAGCATACCACTGCTTTCATTACATAATTTAATGGTCTGTTCAAACAGCCTGATGGTCTTGCTACAAAAACTATCTAGTACTCTCTTGCTCCATTTGGAAGGGGTGCTATTTCAGATGTTCAACATCTGGATGGTTTTAGACCTAACATTACTCTCGTAATGTATATGCATTCTCTACACAGACTGAAATGAACAACCCTCTACATATTGTCTGAGAATTCACATGTTTTTGTCAAATACTCAGGTTTTTCCAGTCTGTTTCATTTTCCACATATTCTCAAAAGCATGGGGCATTCAAACTATGTTTTCGTCCTAATTAATATCATTAAAATAGCAAATATTTTAAAAATTTAATTGCATAAAAGACAAATGTGAGGAAGTTACAAGCAAGTATCATAGAACTGGTTCCACTTGAAGTTAATCTTCTCCAACACCACGTATGAATTTTTCAAAATATTTAATTAGCACGTAAAATCAACGTTCAGATTAAAAATATCATAGGTTTCTCTTTGTTTATATGCACTCATGAGCTGCTTCAGTAACATACACAAGAGGTTCCATAGCTGGTTTACTCCTCTGAACTATCCTTCTTAGGATGCTGTATTTTATATTCCCTCACGTCTACATGCATGAAGACAACAGACTTGTTATTAACACCTCAAATTAACAATTTCAGTATCACTTTAAAGGAGAGAAGAATATTGCCACTTACTGTTCTCAGTTTTTTTGTCTGTTTTTATTTTATTTTTTTGAATTCTTAAAGCAGAAGAGCTGTGACTACGTAAGTCATTCCACTTTTCTTTTAAAAAGGCATAGATTTCACCTGCATGGATGAAAATTAAGGAGCAATTTAAAATTGAATTCATGTGACTCTTCAGAGTCTTAAGCAATTTTGAGATGTGGTTTATTTAGAGGCTTCAACAACCATCAGAATGGTCTCTACAGGTTAATGCTGTTGCTGATTAGACTCATTTAGAAGCCAAGTCTAGACAACACAGAAGGACAAAGCGAACTTCAATTGCATGCTGATGGTCCAGAAAAATATTTCCACGTAATCTGGAAAAGTCAGCACATCTAACCACAACACACAGCTAGAAAAATACTCTTATGCATAGGCACTTGCTCATTTAATTCTTAAAAACAAAAAACAAACAAACAAAAAAAAAATCACTTAAGCAGCAAACTCACAATTTTAAAATGACAATTTTGAAATGAAACTGTTCCTGCAAACTGCTCCCAAATCTTTTATAAGAAGGTGGGAATATTATGCCCAAAGTTTCAAGCTGAGCAGTGAAATTATTCACAAAGACAAAATTTTGTTGCAAATATTTACTCAAAAAAGGAATAATTTACAGCAGTGCTTTAACAGCTGTTCAAAACATTTAACACATTAAAAACAAAACCAGGTCAAAAGCACATTCTGAATGTTTCCAATGGAGCAAGGAAGTTGTATGAGCAAGCTACTGTCATATTCATTTCTACATCTAACTGCTAACTATATAAAAAAAAAAACAAACAAAAAAAAAACCCAGCAGCTATCTTTTTGAATATAACTTAGACTACAAAAACTTGTGAAATTGAACTGTACATTCCCACAGTATATGCTCTCGTGTCCTTTTTTCTAAGAGTCAGCAAGTAGCAGCTGTTAAATGGCAGAATGCATGCCGGCTGGTACTTCCAGTTTGGGGTTCTCCTTCTTGCTTAAAACAATTTTTACATTAAACCATACTTTGGTTTGCCTTACAGACCATTCCTATGGGTCTACCACTAAGAATATTTAAAACAATGGTAAAAGCCTAAAAGCTACAGTACTTTTAGCAGTATGTCCTACTTTTTACAATTACATCTGGTATTTCTGCACAGTCTGCATACTGAAAACCCCACAAATATATATATTTTATTGTAATATTTTCACTTTCACTGAAAGTTTAAGTCAAGTCTACAGTCTGGCAGGATTACACCTGTACAGAGGTGCATAGATTCATAAAATTGTTTACATGCTTTTACAGAAAGGAATGTGATACCAAATCCAAAGCTTGTGTTTACCCAGCTATCAGCAGACCAACAACCATTGCTACAAGTGTGCTTCATTTCAGCATTAGAACTAAATTCATACTAAGTTCCACTTCATTAGATGAGTTTTTAAAATCTTCTCTTGGCTAGCAAGTAATCTATTCCATATACAAAAAATAGATTTTTTTCCTCCTTTCAACTCAGTTTATTCATATATACGAGAGAAGAAACAAGCAGAGAAACTTAAAAAGACACTACCTTTTCTAAATTTACTTGATTCAGTTGTGCATACATATTTTATCTCCATATGCCAAATTTCCCTTTCAAAAAACCCCCAAACCATTAGCATCAATGAGCACACTCATCAGGAATGGTCCATGGTGTTCCTATCATTACATATAACACACAAGGAAATGAATGTAATTTCAGCTTGCTTCATTTTCATCTGTTTTGTTTACAGTTGTTTCCATTCTGCTGGGACTGCCTTCTTGAGAAGTCTTGTCTGTTTGTTCAGAGAGTTGTTCAGCTTGCTTTGATGAAGGTGCAACATTGCCTTTCTGAAGAATTTCAGTTGCTTCGTGCTCTAGTACCTCTGACGGAGTCAAAGGCTCCAAATGAATACTGCCTTGTTCACTCATGTCTGAACTAACTGATTCAGGTTCATTTCTTTTTCTCAAGAACTGCTCAAAACTAACATCTTCACCCAAAGTTAGCTTTAAGTCCTTTGCATTCATCGCTGAAAGTGTAATTTTATCCAAGTTTTGCACTTTAGTCTGATCAGTCAAGACAACATCATCTGATCTTTGGGAAGCTTTCAACTCACTTTCTCCATGAATACATTTTTGTTTCTCGCCTACCAATTGTTTATTATGATCTGAATCACAACATGTTCCTTTCTCATGCAAAGATTTCTTCGTGCTGTTATCATGGACTTCCAAATTGGGAACATTTTCTGTATCTGACAATGATGAATTTTCTTCAGTCTTTTCAACTGACGCAATTTCATTTTGGTTTCTATTGCATTCTTTTGTTTCCTCTGAAGAATCAAGCTCCTGTTTGCTGAAAAAACAAAATGTTATTTTTCTAAAAGTTGTAATAAAGCAACAAGTGGCTATACTCTGCAAAGTAACAGCCAAATGGCATTGCAGATTTCCTATTTGTTATTTCTTAAAAGTTTTCATAGCAAGACGGCATGAATTTAAATTCATTTTTCTTATCCATTTATATATTCAGCTTTAGTATTCTCTAATTCTTGCATTTCGTCACTAGAAATGAAGGTTATTTCTTTCTTCTCATGTGGAATTTTAAAAAATACAGCATTAAGCTGCTCTTTGACGCAAATGCAGATACAATTAATCAAAACTTCTGTTGATGATGTGCAAGAAAAATAAGCCAGTTCATACTTTTGTACTGATAAACTGAATCTGCACTGCTAACACGTGTAAAGAAAGAAAAAAGCTAGCTGTTGGAAACTACAATTAATTCAAATCTAAAATTTAGTATCAACTAGAAATTTGCAGTATTTCAACAAGTAAATTGGTGAATGAGCATTTTTAGTCACTTTTCAGAGTAAAACCACATGGTGATAGAGAAAAGGAAAGAACAGTGTTGATACATGCAAGGAAAAATGAGAATCTTATTATATAGTAACACAGAAAACACAACAAAAAATTTATACAAAATAGTTATTGTTTAATTTTGTATTATTTCAATAAAGCCACATGCAGTTTTGTAAAGTGATCAGGAAAGGGAAGTGCGAGAGGGATGAGAATCCTCCAAAGAGATTCAACTAAGTATTTCAGATGCCACCTTTACTGACAAAAACAGTCACGTGCGGTATGCAAACTGCTCACATTCATGTGCCAACAGACAAAACCCTGCCTTCTGATATCTCTCCATTTGTTATAGGAACATCAGGCTTCTCTCATCATTTCAATGAGGAAGCTCATTTTTTTGCTGTGAAGATTTAGGCTTGGTAAAAACATAGTTGGAAACCCACTCAAGATTCTTCAGAATGA